GCGCCATTGATTTGATCAATCGAACAGAAACAAAGACGATCGTCAAATATCCACCGTCGGCGTCGGCGATGTTGATTTGATCGATGCACCTTTGACTTCTAATCAAACAACCGTTATTTGGTTCACCACCTCCCCAAACTACGTTCGAACGAGGGTGTTCGGCGAATAACCAGAAAATAGAACCAGGAGTGTTCTAAGTTACGTTACCTCTACTCCTATGGAGGTTCCTCTGGAGAGCTCCGCAACTACGACTACTTGCTATGACTACGACTCTGCAAAGGATTTCTCTGACAGAGCGGTTCTACGAAACTACAGAGAAATAGGTAAGTCTACGACGGTGCAGTTTGAGATTTGATTTTGCCGTTCCGAGCTTCTCTCTCTTCCCAATCTTTATACTTCGCTCTTCTCCCCGCAGTCGTAGAACTGCCTTCGCGCCTTTGTCTCCCACGTCTTCATTCCTGTCAACCGTGCAAGTAAATTTCTCCTTGTTGCGTAACTCCCACGAGTGCGAAACCGCTTGGACACGCGAAAACTTGGCCAAAACGACACTGAGCCAAAATCCACAATTGTTGAACTCTCGCCACTGCGACGTTGTTTTCTATTAAACAACATCGTTTCAGTACCGCGACAGTGTTGACATCTCCCACGATGTCGTTTTCGACTAAACGACACCGTCTAAAATAATCCTTAAAATATTAATTAATTAAACCGGCCATCATTGTTGACACGCCGTCAAACTCTCACTTCGCGGCGTCGTTCTTAATTAAACAACATTGTTTTCTAGTTATGCGATGTTGTTGAACTTTGCGATGCCGTTTTAAATTTATCACTGTCCTTTTAACTATTGTGGCATCGTTTGGCCTCTCGCGGCATCGTTTTTAAATCTGCGTGTCGTTTCTTTCCTCTTGCTGCATCGTTTTCAACTAAACGACACCGTCCTAAAAAGTCATTAAAGATATTAGTTAATTAATCCGGCCATCACTAGTCCAACTCGTGTGTTGACCAACGGCATCATTAGCGCCAAAACGGCTCCGTTTGTTTTTCCTTTTGCGACATTGTTTTTTATTTTAAACACTGTCGTTTGCTAGTAGAGCGGTACCGTTTTTAATTAAACGACACCGCTAATATAGCCAAAAAAATATATATCAATTCACGGAACCGCCGCCAGTCTGCACTCGCATTGGGTTGGGCGAATTTTGGTCACTTACCCGATATGGTTTTTAATTAATCGGTACCGCTTATCAAGGCTCTCGCGGCATCGTTTTTAAATTCACGGTAGCGTTTTAACTCTCCGCGATGCCGCTTGTCCCCATGCGGTACCGCTTCTCCCCTTCCAACAAGGAATAAAAATAATAATTAATTAGAAAAACTCCTTCTCCAATACCCACACTAAATGCGCGGCCCCTTTTGTTTTTCTGTAAGCGGTGTCGTTTCCAGTACCGCGGTACCGCTGAGCTACCTTGCGGTACCGTTTTAGTTCTCCGCGACGCCGCTCAACTCCCAACGACACCGTTTTTTACCCGCGGTATCGAATTAAATGCCGAGACTAATTAATGCGGCATTTAATTCCGGCCGAATTAATTTTAGGTGTCAACAACATCTCAATTTCTCCACCATGGCATGTTGGATAAGAGCTCTCATTGCAATGGGAGGTTCGCTCATGGCTCTTTTGATGAATAACTTTCCAACATTAAGGGGAGGAAGCAAACAGTTGGGTGCAGCGATGAGTTGGAATGAATCATCATTTTGATCCTCAAACAAAGAAAATGAACCCGAAGTTCATATGATGATTCATTGAGGGGAATAAAACATATTGATTGCCAGACACCTATACTCACCAAATGAAGTGACTATGTCACATGCTCAACTGTGAACGCTCAAATGCAAATTGATGTCCTTATTGGACAATCTGATATTGAAATTGAGTCAAACGAACGCATGAAGCGTGGTAGACCAATCGGTTCCAATGATAAAATTCACGAGAAAGAAAGGGAGCTATAAATTAAGATGGTCAACTCGATGATACAATAGCTCTGGAAGAGTCACGACATATAATTGAGATCATAGTACCAAAAGAATAGAAGGTACCTAATTAGTTGAGATCTCAATTATTTATGTCTTAGATGAAGAAAAAGTTGGAACCAAAATGATCTTATCGTCGTTGAGAGTTCTGAATGTGCTGCAACACTAAATGTGATAAATACAAACTAGGATCAAAAGTAAAAGTCTATTAATGCATGCAACATAATATATTATTGGCCAATATAAAAGAAAGCATTAGATTTGTTGGGTAAATTTTTTGGACCAGAAGTCTATACACCTGAAGATGTAAAACTAACGGGATACAAATGAGTTTTCTTGCAAACATGTAAGAATATGTATGAAATTGTGATATATGTAATACAACTTGTGGTAAGAGGTTTCTCGTAGAAACCTACCATTGTTGAAGTGGAGACGTACTCCATGTGGTGGATGCAATTAGTTTTGAAATATGCATATGATAAATGTGTGACAACCTATTTGTATGGATCCCTTGATAATATATTTATACTAATTTCCCTGAAAGTTTTATTTGCCAGAAGCAAACATGTGATGTTCTCGAGAACAATATCGATGGATAAAACAATCTCTCGTATGGATTGAGATAAAATGGATGAATATGGTATATTCATCTAAGTGAATATATGCTAAAAGAAGTGGTTGAATAAGCCTTACGTGATTAAATTCGAACAAAGTGCATTAGAGCATTTGCATTTGGCATGTGTGACTGTGTAATGACATATAGGCTTATGTGCGTGATTTTGTGGTTTTAGTTTTATGTTTGAGTTTGATTTATGAATGTGGTTTGGTTAATTGATGTTGTGTGTATCACGTGGTTTTGCTTGTGACTTTGTGGTCTAAAGTAATTGCTTACATACAATTGTGCTAGCTAAGTTTTATAGTTATTTAGAAGAAAATAGTCGAGACATTATTTTACAATGATCTCATATGTTTCCGTTGATATGAACTACATAAGAGTTTTATAAAGCAATGGATTGCTTAAAGAAAGAATTGAACATGAAGGATTTAAGAAGATCATTTTGTGGATCAAGAAGATCAAATCGAAAAAGTGAAAGAGCAATTTTGGATTAAAAATTACCTACGTTCAACAGCCTAATGATCATAAGGTCACTAGAAGTGACAAAGGGTCCATTTTGTTCTGGAGATAGAAATAAATGATTAGATCTTGAAGTACCGTATATTGATGTCATTATAAAGCGAATGTATCTTGCTAGCCATACACCATCTAGCATATCATTCTGTATACATATATTAGGAAGATATAATTCTCTCTTTGTATGACAATCAAACAGAGTTCAACTTATACTTCATTAACTTTAGGTAAAAATGAGGATCAAAGATGATTTATTTGTTTAGTTATGGTCCTACAACTATCTCATGGAGATTGTAAACAAATCATAAATGCTACATTATCATATCATACACAATGGTTAGCATTCATGAGACATGTTCTGAACTGATTGGTTAAGATTTGTGATTCAACAAGTAGGGTTAGGAATCGATGCGGTTTCGGTTAACTGCACCGAATTTTGCGGTTAACCGCAACTAGCCCATATCATCCCACCATCACCGCACTACGTGCGGTTTGCGGTTAAGCACAAACTGCAATGTGCGGTTAACGGTTAACCGCAACGGTAGAAAGTGAGGGGGCAGAGCCATTGCTGGCTGCCTGGCTGGCTCGACGCGTTGAGCAGAGGGAGAGGGTGAGATTCCTCTCCAGCTGCCTGGCTCCACGCCGACGGTTAAGCAGCTTGAGTTGTGGAGGGTCGAGGACGGTGCACGGTGAGATTCTAAGAGAGTCGGGGGCGAGGGTCGAGGGACGAGGGTGAGACGCGACACGCGAGAGACCGAGAGTTGGGTTCTACCGTTCTAGATCTATGATTTTTTTATTTATTTTTTGGTTCGCCAATTATGGACACAGACAGAGACGAAGTGGCCGAGTAGGGAGGAAGGGAAGGGAAGGGCGGGCCTGGCCGCCTGGGCTGTCGTGGGCCTGCTGCACTACAGCACTGGTGGGCTGGGTTAGAGGTCAGGTTACAATTCGGTTACCATTCGGTTATCATTGAATTCGGTTCGGTGCGGTTAAACCACAAACCGCAAAATAGGCAATATCAGGAACCGCAACCGCAAAATGCTTTATTTTTTCGGTTTGCGGTTGCGGTTAACCGCAAACCGTGCGGTTTTGGTGCAGTTTGCAGTTTTGATAGAAAATTATCCTGAAGATCATGTATGAAAAAAATGGTCCTAATAGATCATGCATAAAGTGAAAATCTAGTAGATTTGTTCAATAAGAAACTTACCATGACTATATTTGAAAGTTTTGTTGACAAAACTACACTTTGGTGTTGTTATGAGAGGGAGCCTATACGCACTACACTCTTTTTCCCTTAACCATGATTTTTCCATTGGGGTTTCCTGGTGAGGTTTTTAACAAGGCAGTTTCAGATACGTATTGTGATTATGCACTCTTTTTCCTTCAATAGAATTTTATCTCATAGGGTTTTTCCTAGTAAGATTTTAACGAGGCATATTCTCAATAGATGGACATCCAAGGGGGAGCATTATGAAACAATGTAGAATTGTGGATGTCCATTGGATTCTACATTGAATGCTAGCTCTTTTCGATTCCATATGGGATGTTACATTAGGAGGTTATTTATCTCCGATCCCTACATTAATCAAGGAAAGAAGTCATCTTTATTGTTATTATATCGCATTCATGTGCATGGATAGAGGGAATTGTAAAGATTATGTATATGTGCCTATAAATAGAGATCCCATTATACAAAGAAAGAATATGAATAAGAAAGAAAAATATCTCTTCCCTTTTCTCTTGTGTTTTTCTATCTACTTTTGTTCTTGTTTTTTTCTCCTTTTTTATATTTTTTATAACAACTTTTATATATTGGAGGATTGCAACTTGCATTTTCATCGAAAAAATGCAAATCCAAAATTTAATATAGAGATGGTACACGTACAAAATGCTTTAAAGAGCTCCAACAGTTACCCGAAGCACAATTATTGCGTTGTGCTTCTTTAATTTTTAACGTGTAATGTTGACATGTTGTGACATTCTCTGGGCACAATGGACCCAAGCTCATGACAAGGGTTTTGTGCATGCAAATAAAAAAGAAATTACAAACCAAACATCTAGTTAACAACCACACAAAAAAAATACTATTTTTGCCATTATATATTAAATTTTAAACAGTGACATTAATGGATAATTTTACTAGACCAACTTCTTTTTCTTATGAAAACTTCAAAATAAATCACCCCACTAAGTAACGGGAGTATTTAGCCAGCAATGTGGTAACTAGAACCTTGTACGTCTTTTCAGTAGGATGATAACTATCCCAAAACACATGTGCATTGATATTGGAGCAAGGCGGAGTGAGCTTATTGCACAAGATGGACACCTCGAGTACTCCTGTTCCACAACATCCTTTCTCCGAGATTTCAAACCCTGAAAACAAACCACGAACACAAATTTGATCAATCTCTCATTCTCCCTTCACAATCACTTATGCATGATGACGACATCCTAATGACCTATAACGAAAGTATTTCATTACCGTATTTTTTAGGGGTTTGAATGATTTGTAACAAGGGAGTGTAGACATCGATGAAGACAACCCTTGAATTTGGTAAGGTTTGACCAAGCGAATTCAACTTGGATTTCAACTTGGAGTTGAAAAGAATGGCTGCTTGGTTTCTATCATCGGCACAGTCCCTCACAAGCCCGCCACCCAAAGTCCTTTGCGATGGCACACACCCAATTGGCGGCGCACTGAACACCCCAATCTTTCTCGCTCCGGACTTGTACAATTCCTGTTGAGGAAACAAAAGGTGGATTTTGTAATATTTTTATATTAGTATACATCAAAGTCGTGTGACACACTGTGAAATACTAAAAAAGGTAAAATAGACTATGTGTTTCGAGATCGCACTTGAACAAAATTCGAAGCAGAATCAGACATGAGGCTGGTATAACTAGGAATGTCATAGTTACTTCTCGCTCGAAGAAGGAAGTAAGTATTTGCGATATCGTCACTTCCAGCAACCACCAGATACACTGCATTGCCTAGGATGAAATGTGCCCTCTTTTCTCCAACCATGGATTTCACCTTGGCAGTGTATTCTTTGAAGTATCGGAGTTGTTGGCTCAACGACAAAACTGACTGTATTGTTTGGAACATAACGGATTAAATAGCATGAAAACTTGTTAGTAGATCAATTATTCAGCATTGGAACGAAAAGGACTTTTAAATTACCACTAATTTTGCTGTTATGGGGTCGAATCCAGCGCCTGCTGAAGCAAAGGAGACTCCAGTTAACAGATCTTTGGGCTGTAGGCTTGGGTCCAAATATGCTGGAACGCTGCCTTTGATTCCCAATTCTTCAGCTGTTAGTTAGGGTGGGAAATTAAAAATTTATGAATTTAACGAATATGGTTACCTAGTAAATATCCATAAAATTAAATGGAGAAAGGTGAAAGAAATTATATAAAATATAAACTGAAAGATTGTGATATGTGATGTGAGGTTTGGGTATATGGGCCAAGACGTTGAAAGCCTAATCGAACTGAAATAAAATGTGGGCCTAACGAAAATTGATGGCCCTAATTAAGATGAATAATGAAGTCCAACAACCAGAGAGAGCAGCCTGCACTGCTGAGGCAATTGGGCCACCCACAAGTCCCCTACAGAACTAATGGGTCAATATGAAATTTAATATTTGGCCCAACTGTTCAGCGTAGTGCCACTACCACCATAATTTAACTAGGCTGTCCACAATCTTTACCCAAATTAACACTAATGAAACGGTGTGGGAAAGAAAGATGTTGTTTAAAATTAGGTTAAAACTATCATATAACAATTAACAACAAACTCTCACTAACACGTCATTTTTTTAACGTCGTTATTTTTCTGATGTTGCATTTGAAAAAAAAATTATATCAAATAACCGCGAAAACCATTCAAATTAAAGTAAGATGAAAATTTGTTAATTACAATAAGTTAAATACTTTAGTCGTCTCGAGACTAAAAAGAAATTTGATACACAAAATTCAAATAACTCGTTCAAAACTTAATATTTAACTCATCAAAAGTTAATTATGTTAAGAATAAGAATTAGTTTCAAATTCATCAAAAAAATAACACTTTACCTAATTGATGTTGGCTAATTACGTAATTGAACTTTTAAACATTTCGAAACAAAATTCTTGCCTTTTGATTTTTGAAAGCTCATCATGAGTCATAAGGTCAAAAGAGATACGAGCAAGAGAGGTAAAGAGACAGCAGAGTGTGACTATTATATATAATATAATATACCGATGATATCGGAGGGAACCTTGCCGTCGCAGAACCTGCCGGTGGGACCGCCGGTGAAATCCACACCGTAGGGCTGGAAGTTGGCCTTGACGACGGTGGCCAGGTTGTTGTTGTTCCCGGTGTCCATGATCGAGTCTCCGAATATGAAAATCGCCGACACGGTGACGTTCGCCGGAAGCCTCGCCCTTGACGCAGCTCCACCAGCGACGACGCTTAGCAACGCCGTCAGGAACAGAAACGGCGCCAAGGGAGACGGAAAAGAATGGCGTTTGAGAGGACCCATACGTTCTTTTCTTTTCTTTTTTTTTCGTCGCTGTAGATACGACCTTTCGTGACGGAAACGTGAGTTTCTGCCTTTTTAGAGTTGAGTGAGGTGCTTCTGTGTTGCTTGTTTGGCCTGGCTGAGTGTTATATAAAATGTACGGGGAAAGAGGAATAAAGAAATGGAAGGGAGACGGCCGATCGAGCTGCACGCATTAAATAAATTATGGCGTTGGCAACAAAATATTGATATGGCCTCATTTCCATCCCCAAACCAAAAACTTGTACGTAATGGTTTATTAAATTGATCTTTACATCTGGGTTTAGAGAATCAAGGTCTAGTGTTTATCCATTAAAGATTAGTGCATAGTATTATGACCGAAATTCAATTTAATTCATGCTCTAGACGGAGATAACTCACTAGGAGTACTCGAAGTATCGTATTCTCCAAGAGTATAGCAGTTTGGCCCATTTATGGTAATGAATTGTGTAATCCTGGTATGACCATTATATGTACTTCATTGTAAATCAGAATCGTTGATTATATTATTATTTTATATTAAATTGATCTTCGGGTTTGGAATAAGAAATTGGGAATTGAGGTGTATCCATTAAAAATTTGGGGATAATATCATCTTTTAAATTTGATTTAATGCATAATCTATATAGAGATATCTCCCTAAAAGTACTAAGCATCTCTAGCTAAATAAGTTAGCTAGTTTGTTGTATACAGTATACCTAAACTTTAAAGAGTGACAATAATAATGTAGTACTCTATTGAGTCTTGAGTAACCTTCACCATGAATAAAGTTTGGGCACTTAATTCAAGGGTGTATACAATTTATTAGTTAAACCTTTCAAACTTTTTAAATTATTATCCAAAATTTTCAAAATACAAAATATTAGCCAACTTCTAGTTAACGGATTTATTAGTAATATCGACTTGGCAAACATGATATTGATTTGGAAGAGACATTTGAAATTCAACATCTAAAATTTTGTAATTTTAACTAAGAAAAAAAATTATAAAATTACTACTGATTAGAAAAAAAAATAGTTAATATTTTGATGAGTTACAAAAAAAATTATTACTATTCTGTATTTCGAAAATTTTGGCTAATAATTTGAAATTTTGGGCTTTTATGTATTAGGCATAATAGTTGAAAACTTGAAATCATGGAGATGAAAAATTGACTATCAATTGTTATATTCATAAAATGCTGGATAGCCCATCTAAATGACAAGAACCCCTTAGGAGTTAGGATTTCATGAAATCCACATCTTATGCAAGCTTCGAACACAAGATAAATAACTAATAACTCAATTTGAGTTATTGGTCTGCAGTAACCCTTCAGAAACCTTTCTTAATTACAATTGTGTACAATGCCTCTTGACTCTTACCAATGGTCTAGTTCATATAGACTTAATGAGACTATCTTTTAGTTTTTTGATAATGGTGATTAAGAGGCTATCTTCTAGTTACGTTGGACTTGAATGTCATAGACTTAAATCCAACATATATCTATTGTTCTGCGCTATAAATAGTGGGTTGAAGAGTTATTTTTTTATTCCAAATCACTAGGTCCAATGAATTTTGAAATCTCATTCAATAGATAGGAAAATCTTCATTTACATATCCATTTTGTTTTTATGCAGAGACATATCACAGCAAGAATGTAAAGGCAAGGGTTCTAGTGATTACTTGGGAAGTTTTGTGGTTATCTGGATATGCTGATGAATACATGTATTGTAAATACAAAAATGATAAGAATTAGATTATTGGAAGAATCTTATTTGTTTGTAGCTATTCAAAATTTTTAAGGAAAAGAAAAAATCATTTTATGAGGTAAAAGTTGAATAAATTAAAGCCCGCAATCTCAAAAGAAGAATCTCACATTTTAGTTGAGATTTAAAATGAGTAATTGTAGGTGATATGAGATTTGAAGGTCCACCTCAAATGCATGTATTGAATAAAATATTAGAACAAAAAAAAATGATGAATTCTCCAAAATACATAGATTCAAAGAATTATTCATCTAAAATCATAACTTCCAACAACCCTTTTGATTTTTTTGTTTTGTGCACTTCTTGTGGAGGCGTTTCTTTCTTGTATATGTTCTTTTTCTTTTTGCCTTTTAATAAAAGTTTCATTCATCGATAAAAAAACATACACCATTTTGTTAACATGTCTCAAATTAAACATCCAAACATTAAAATTGATAAATGCATAATTATCTAAACCCACCATCGGTCCTTCATGCTCCAAATCCAAATAAGATACAATCCTTCATTTTTCAAAACCCAAATTAGATACAATCAGTGGCGGGCCCAGAAAATTCTTCAAGGGTATTCAAGAATAAGAATATCAGATAATAAATTACATATATAATTTAACAAAAAAAAATTCATGAAGTGCATTGCATCATTATTTTGACAGCAAATCACATATTGTTTTCGTGTACAAAAAAATCAAAAATCAACTTCTTATTCGTGTCGTGATTCACAAAAAATTCAGTAAGTGTAACCAAACAATCATTTCAAAATTGCTCTATCCGTTACAAACAAGGGATTGGTCTAGTGGTAGTACCACTAACTTTGAACCGGACATCTGGAATTTGAATCCCTTAAATAGTACCTAATAACACAAAGTAATCTATATCTCTAAGAAATTGCTCTCATCCGTTAGGAATTTGGATAAAGTAAGGTAGTCAAAGGGGTTTTTTGGATAAAAAAAAAAGGAGAAGTAATGAATTAGAATTATAAATTAAATTAATAGATATGAAACTTATTTCATTTTGTATGGAATTAGTAATAATGAATATCTAATTTTTGATTTTATAACAACCTTTAGTTTTTAGTTCAAAAGAAATTAATTAAAAATTCTAAGGCTTGTTAATTGGTAATTGGTTCCAATACAAACATCAATAAAATAAAATTTTCATTAATTATTTTGTTCCAAACTCAAAGCCAAAGTTTGTCAATTGACAATACTTGGTGCAATGTAGGTCCGCCACGGGATACAATCCTTCATTTTTCAAATCCAAATATCTTATTTACCTGCTAAGTACGCTGTAATGAACCATTTGAATTTTATTGTTTAAGGTCATCATTTATCGAATGAGATCATGGCCCGCTATTATTTTCATCATCTTCATTGATATTTGATACTATTTATTTACCTTACTTCACCGGCGATAAAGATTCTAGAATATAATACGTACGTAAAAATGTTACGTGTGCCCTTTTAGTACGGTGGTCACTTTATCTTGTGCCGTCATTTCCCTATATAGAGAAACAAAGCCGTATATATTCATTAACTTCTCCATTGATTTACTGCCAATATAATGAAAATATGAGAAACCATTGAGCGAAAACTGAGAGAAGGAATAGATGGATCAAGTTATTAGGACATTACACTAATTTGGTAGTTTGCTTCAATCATCTCAGCTTACCATCTTGTTGATAACTATCTGGCGTTTGCTACTTTGACTTTGCTAAATTTCTATTTTCTAAGTTGTGGTGATCTGGAGTTTAGCGAGTTAATCTATGTCATTGATGAATAATATTGCTGGAACCATACTTAGACAAAAACATATATATGTCAACCGATTATCAGTTTTTAATGACCATAGACAAAGTTGGATCAAGATTCCAACATTAGAAAGGTTGCAATATGTAGGGTTGGCAACGGGGCGGATCGGGGATGGGTACATAGCCCTCATTCACCGTCCGTTACCCTTGTCGGGTTTCCCCGTCTCCGTTCCCATGAGCTAATCGGGAAAAGATTGCATACCATCACCGTCATCCGACGGTTTCGGGTAACCCACGAATCCCTGTACAGAACCAAGGAAAAAAAAAACTAAGACTAATAGTTCCTGAAAATACCTCACACTTCATTTAAACCGAAAAACGTGATGTTTTAAATTGAAATGGAAGAATTTGGGGATGTAACCCTCCCACCACCCACCACCCAGATCTTCATTACATGAAAATTACTAACAGACTCCAGCAAGCAAACAAGCTGCAACAGCCAATATCTCACCACCCAAAAACCCATGTCATCTCATGTAATCATGTTCTGAAGTTCATCCAAACCGTAAAAGGATACACACAAAAAATATAGGCAATCAGCCTCCAAATACCATCGTTCTAAATCAAACTAAAACTCTAAGGGGTTGTTTGGATTAGGGAATGTGTAAATGAGAGATTTGTGTTAAAATTCCACGGTTAAAAACCAGGTATTCTAGATGCAAGATTTTATCCAAATAACTTGTTTGGAATTTGATGAGAGATTTTAATAAGAAAATTAAAATTACAATGGTACCCATCCCTAACCTATTTCCTATCTGCGTTTGTTTCTTCTTCTTCTTCCCTTTCCACTGCCGTTTGCCTCTTATTTCCAACCATAAGTCCAACAACTGATGGAGAAGTCACATATTAAACCACAGTCCTTGCTCTATTAAACCATCTACTAATTCCCCAGGGCAGCGTCCGGGTTTTTTTGGCAAAATCGACGAGAGCTTGCCTCCGCCTCCGACGGCGGCACGGGAAACGAGGCATCTACGAGGTGAAGCTATGAAGCACGACAGTGGGGGTGGGATTCGCCGGAAGAGAGAAAAAGACACCAACAACAACGACTTTTTTCAACAGAGAACAAGACCATATCCAATCTTCTTGTCACCAGCATCCGAGCTTCTGGTAACCCTGATCGAAACTTTCCCCAACCTCGAATGCGCCCTTAATTATTTATTAGTGAGGAGGATAGAGAAATCGATTGCTGGCGGTTGGGGTTTGAGAGCTACTATTGCGAGGGAGGATGACAGTGGAGAGATTGGCGAAGAGGTGCAGAAGGCTCATCGGAGAAAGAACGAAGGACGAAGATGAAAGGATGAGGGTAGGCTTTGGAAAAAATAAAACAAGAACGAGCGATTTGGAAATAGCTGATGGTGATCAGCTATTTCAAAAACCTACATTTTAGAGTTTTTGAAATTCTTAATTGTAAAAACCCTCATTCTTTCCAAACACAGGATTGTTTTAAAATTCTGCATAATGAGGAATTGTTTTAAAATCCCTCACAAATCCCTCACTACAATCTCTTATCCAAACGACCCCTAAAAGCAAA